CGCGGGTGCTGCTTGTACGCGCTTCTGGCGGTGCGGGAGCCTCTGAGGGCGACGTCTCTGGCCGAGTCACCCGGCAGTAAGCGTCCCACCAGGAAAGACGCGGGTTGTGTTCACGGGTTACTGCGCGGGTAGCGTTACGTGCCTGCGCACTGAGAGCAGGTGGGCATGGTGCTTCCAGCTTTGTTTTGAGTTTAAGGATCCGTGTGTAAATCTTTCCCAGATAAAGGCTCGCTCGCTTATTTATTATTTTGATGCATTTATTTTCATCCACTCGGTTTCCAGATATTAAAATAATTTCTTTCTACCACTGGGGAGTGGCTGAAAAAGTGCGACCAGATAATCCTTTCTCCTTTCCGATTCACATTATCAGTTCCTCCAAACGAACCCCCCGAGCCAGTGCAAGGCTGGTGAGGCAGTTGCAAAGGCAAGGACGCTCTGCTTAAAAATTCCTTCCTTTCTTTAAGGTATATTACAAATTCCTTTTCAGTCTCCAAGGTAAGAAAGCGCTGGCAGGGTGCGCAGTCTGTGTGGAGCGCGGAAAGCACCTTTCACTGCTGCGCAACCCAATTTGCGAGGCTTTGAAAGTTCAGGGCGCTGGCGAGGCTGGTGGGTGGGGGGAGCCAGCTAGGAGACCTTTGGAAATGGGGGCGTTCTGGATTGCGCCCTTTCCTTCCAGTCGAGGCCGCGGAGAGAGAAGCCGAGCAAGCTTGTGCAGATAAGTCAGCCAATCTATCAAGGCGGTTTGACTTTCTGCTCCCCCTTTCCGCTGCTGCCTCTCTTCCTCAAGGATTAATGGAGCGCAGGTGAGCGCGGCAGATTTTCTCCCACCGGCGGCCGCGCCTGGGCGACCCTGAACAACCTGGGAATGCGCCGCTTTCCGCCTGAAATTAGCAAAGATGCGGGCAGCGGTGCCAAATTCCTCCATGCAGCGAGTTATTCACTCATAAACAAGAATGGATAAGCTCTCTGGCAATCTTTGGCGCGCACACACACACAAATCTCGCTACTCTGAGAAAGAGAAATTAATTATTCGATCTATAGATGTGTTGTACACAAAATGCATTGCAATGCCCCTTCTTTTTTCGTCCAAGGAACCCCAGGTGTCCGTGTAATCCTGCATTCCTTTTGTCCTCACAACAACCCTGTGAAGTAGGTCAGGCTCAGTGTATGTGTGAGTTTGTAATGTTATTTGTCTATCTCTATATAGCGATCTCTCTGTACATTCCACAGGGAAGTTCTGCTGCACAAGTCCCACCAAAATCAACAGACGCCCATACTCTTCGCTTGCAGAAACTGGCTTTTGGCACAGTCCATCCACTATGCCCTTCACAGCTCCAGATTTTTTCAGTTAGGCTTGTGGAGGAGAACTTCCCAGGGAATTGGGCCTCATGCCATAAAAAACGAACACTTGGCAAAATTCTTGTCTTCATTATTTCTTGTAAAGCAGCAAATTTATAGGAGGCCTTGGGCATTAAGAAGAGGGGAAGGCAGGCAGGCAGAGAGGTCTACAGGTGAACAGCATTTGTCCTGGTTTAAGCATGCATGAGATCTAGATACTGATCTAACCTTGCATCCTTATCAATATCGCCAGCTTCTCAGGTGCCCTGGCCGCCAGTGTTTCAGATAAATATTCCTAGGAAGCGGAAGGAAGCGCACAGCCTGCAAAGATTCATTTACAGATCTTCCGACGGGTTTGTGCGGGACAGTGCCTGGCGTTGAACAAGTTGCTTCTTCAGCCAGTCCGACCTCGCACAGTTCTTAGCTGAGGCACAGGGACCCCCCCCCCCGCTCCCGGGCAGCGTTGCGGAGGCGTTACCTCCCCCTCCCAGCCCCAAACCTCCTGCACGAGTTGGCAGAAAGACAAAGAGGGGGGAGAAAAGCCTAGCCGAGAAAGTCCAAACCCCCTTTGGTGGATCGGTGGGTTCCCGCCTTGGGCTCTCTGGAGGAGAGGCCACACTGAGTGATGCGCAGTCCAGTCAGCGCGCGCAGGATGCCCAAGCACCACGTCCAGGGTGCGGCGTTCTCCGCAACCTTTGCGCGGCTTCCTCCTCTCTGATTCTTTGTTTGGCATCGGAAGAGAATCCCGTCCGGCCTCTTCGGCCGAGCAGGGGAGATTGCGCGCATCCCTGGGGTCGGGCTGTCGGAGCGCGCAATCTCACCAGCCGCGGGGAGCGGCGGCAGAGCCAGGATCGGGTGCGGCGGGGCCGGGGGGGGGGGCTCGCCCCGCGGGCTCTTCCTTTATCGATTCACAGCTGCCGCGCAGGAGGGGCTGTCCCCGGCTCTGTGCCTCGATGGAGCTTGCTCCCTGGTTTGGGGGCCAAGGGGCGGGCAGGTGGGCGCCCGTCCGTTGGACGGCTTTGCTTCTCCCCCTCTCCTTTCCTCCCCGTTCGCTTCGTTAACCAACCTGAAAATCCGAGGCTGAAAGCTGCGCGTTAAAAGGCAGGGAGCGGCGGTGTGTCTCACCAAAGGCGTCGCTGACTCGCCTTTGGACGGGGGAACAGCGGTCCTACAACTCCCAGCATTCCCAGCAGGGAACGGGGAATGGCCCAGCTGGCCGGGGGACTGCTTGCTTGCAGTCTAAACGCGCGCAGCTTGGCGATCTAACCCTTTCCCTCTCTCCTGTTTCTCGGCAACGTTCTCAAAATCACGCTAGTTTAAACTCGGGTCAGGACCATCGGAGAACTTTCCCCAGAGACGTAACTTAAAATTCAAAACCAATCTGGGCAGATTGTGTATCCCAGTCGTTTAAGAAAGAAAAAGTTGGGAGGAAGACTTGGCTTGTGCGTTGCAAACATTATTTGGTAGGTGGGAATGCTGGTGTTGAAAATGGAAAGAGAAAAAAGAATAAGTTTTAAACGTGCGATTGACTCGTGAGATACAGTATAGGAGCTTTGTTATAAATCCCATTGATTTTGGACGCTTCCCTTCCATTAGAATAAATGGCACATACATGTATCAGTTATCGGAATTTAAACTTTGCCTTTCAATAAAATTGTAAAGGCAGCTCGTACTAAAATAGTTGAAAGGCGTTTAGATAATAAGATATTTAGGCAATCTGATATGTGTTAAGACAATTTATTTTCAAAAAAGTATTGCAGCTCCCAGAACCGCTGAGATTTGTAGAAATTCCCCCGACTGCAAAATGCATAGGATTTTGCCCTTATTGCATAGAATCTCCAGACAGAAAAAACAGGGAGAAGAGAGATTTCTGGCGCAATTAATGTCTGCTTGTAGACCTTGTCTTCTGGATCCTCCTCCAGAAGTCCGCCTTTCAACTGATTCAAAAGCCCTTCAGGCCTGAGTGGCATTTTTGAAGCGCAAAGCCCATGCAAGGAAAAGCGCTTGCCACTGAACCCGATTCTGCTGTCCCGAGGGTGATATAACTGCAGTTTATATAAAAGCACATTTGCATCAACCTGCTAGCACGAAATGTCCCGGAGAAGAGCCTCGCCTTTCTGCATCTGACTATTAAAACGTTGCTGCACAGGACGAAGTCTATCTTGCTCTTTTCTCTGTCGCATCCATTTTCCTCTGCAAGATGCTCTTGCTTGGATTTACATGGAAAATTAAATTGGGTTGAACGCTTGTAGTCCTAAGGATCATTGTGGTCCTTGTGGTCCTTGCCCTTCACCACTCCGTGCCAGGCAAGGATGTCTGACGACTTAAGCCCGGTACCACTTCTTGAGGAGTGGGGGTCGGGAGGGCGGCGTCTTGTCCTGAACTGGAAGGGCTGAATTCTCCCAGTTCAGTTCATTTCCTTCCCAAAGGGCACCTCTCTAGAAAGAGTAGTCCAGTCGTGTGGATTGCCCCTTTCCCTGCTAGGCTGTCTAAGCAAACAGCAGTATTTAGGGTATACATTTAAATATTCCTCAGCAGTACTTTGAAATTAATTCATTTGATATTTTATATTCTGCCTTTCCTCAGTTATTTCGGGCAACTCCAATGTTCTTCACACTGTGGAATTTGTTTGTTTGTTTATTCAATTTATATTCCACAAATAAATTAGTCCCAGGGACTCTCTTAAACGGATTGCAAAAAACCCCCCAATAAAAACAACATCCACGAACCACGGGAATCAGCATTTCTGATGCAGGGGGAAGACAAATTTTTCTAAAAATTCAACACCCGTTTGCTTTGCGAGGAGGGAAGCAGTCATGGGGAGCGTTGCCTTTTTCATAGCAAAGCACAACGAATGCTCCGCAGTCGAGTCGGAGTTTGAAGCAGCGGCCGGGGGAGCCGTTCCGGCGCAGTCGAGGCGCTGCCAGGTGTCCGCCCAGCGGAGTTCAGCGTCCCTGCCAAGGACGCGTGCGCGGGTCTGCAGCCGCCCGCACTGATTTGGCCGCCTCCCTGCGGGAGCCGCTTTTGCCCAGCCAGGCCAGGCCAAGCCCGTGCATTGCGGAGGGTAAGCGGGAGGCCATGCCGCGTCCTCTGGACGGGAAGGAAGCCCCCCCCCCCCCCGAAGGCCATACGGTTACTTCGGAGTAGAGCTGCCTCGGACTGCGCTTCGGGCTTGGTTGCCGCGCTCTTTCGGCGGGGCGGCTCTGTGTGCGCGCGCATGCGCGGGCGCGCATCCAACTCTGGTTTAGGTTCTTTAGCGATTTTTTAAAAAGCGGCACCAGAAATGTGCACGCACGTGCGCAAGTTGGGTGGGACGAAAGGAAAGGGGGGGGGCGTCCCGTGTGTTAGATTTCTGGGAACAAGAACACCCCGCAAGTGTCACCTCCTCTATTCTTTCTGGCCGTACAAGGGCACTCCTAAATTTGGGGGAGCAGCGTCTGGGGTCTGGACACGCGATGAACTGGGCAGGCAGCGACCCGGCTGCGCCTCCCTCTCCGGCTCGGACCACCTGTGTGAATGCCACCTGGTGGAGGGCAGAGCCGCCCTGCCTCCCGGCCAAGCTCCTCCTCCCGCGCCCTGGCCAATGGCTCGCCAACTCTCCTGTGCAGATCCCTTCCAGCAAAGCTGGGGATTTAAGGAGACTCACTTGTGAGGACGCTCGGAGGGAGTTCGGGCGGCCGGGACGCATTGCCAGGGCTGTCCGCGCGGCTTGAGGGAGGAGAAGGACCGCCGCCCCAGCCTCGCCGCCGCCGCCGCATCCTCAGCAACCCCCCGGGGCGGCACCATGCCCAGGTCTTTCCTGGTGAAGAGCAAGAAGGCGCACAGCTACCACCAGCCCCGGGCCCCCGACGGGGAGTACAGCCTCAGCCTGGAGACCGTTCTGGCCCAGATCTGTGCAGGTAAGATCGGGATCTGCTCGCCTTCCCCGTCCCCGCCGCGCGTGGGCGGCTGGCCGCCCCTTCGAGGCGTCTCAGGCCGGTGCCAGACGGGCGCGCTTCCGCCAGCGCCCGCTCGCTGCGCACTGAGAGGGCGGAGGAAGCAAATCACTCCGGGGGCGCAGCGGAGCCCGGATTCATGCCCGAAATAAGGTGGGCGGGTTCGGGGACCTCTGATGTGCTTCAGCCGCCCTTTTCGTGCCCCCTTGAGGAGCAAGGAGCGCATCTGGGGCAGGTTCCCCTCCCCTCTTCCTAGCCACAAACTCCGCAGGTTTTGTGCGGATTCTACGACGGGACGTACAGAACCGGCACTGTGTTTGTTCATCACAATCGGCGCAAGGGCGAAAACACTAAGCCAAGTCTTTCTTTCCCCCCCTGGATAGACACTAAGGTTACAGGGGAGCTGAATATGGGGCTCCCCCAACCGGAGCCCGCGCAACAGGGCCGCTTCTCGCCGGATTCGCAGCTGCCAGATGGGACAGACGCGGCCTCCGATTCGGCTCCCAGCTGCGAAGGGAGTGTGTGCGACAGAGGCCCGGAGCTGGAGGATTTCTGGAGACCGCCGTCTCCGTCAGCCTCGCCAGGTAGGCGCCAGGGGAGCGCGGGGCGGGGAAGGGGCGTTCGGTAAGGCAGCGCCGGCGGAGGGGGCTGCCCGGAGACAGGGCGGTGCGTGTCCCTGAGAAGGGTCGCTTTAGGGTGCGATCCCGGGAGTAAGCCCCCCTGAAACTCAGAGCGGATATTTCCTGAGAAGACACCCATAGGATCGCGCTGTCCCAGAGCAATCCTAGGCCCAAGAGTAAATCGCCCTGAGTTCACGTGTGTAGGATTGCGCCCTTAAATCTGCTTGCCTGGAGAAGGACTGCGTGCCACTTATTCCATATGTCTTCCGATCGGCTCACGGTGTGTCCCCCCCCGACAGACAGACAGACAGACAGACAGACAGACAGACAGACAGACACACACACACACACACACACACACACACACACACACACACACACACACACACACACACACACTTTTTGTGGTGACAAAAAGACATGCATCGCGTTCAGGTGCTCGGTTCTTTGGAACATAAATCGAAAGGAGCTTTTGGATATGTGTGTGGGCGGAGGGGGCTTAAGGAGGAGCGCATTGCGGATGGTTCGCCCCCTCCCCTCCATTAATCGAGACTGAACCCTTCAGAAATCCGAAGCTCTTCGTAGCCCCTTTGCGCAGTGAGCGCGCAGGCGAGGCGGGGGCGCCGCGTGGGACGGGGACGGGGAACGTGCCTGGAAAGGGCTGGCTTTTCCAATCCGGACTTGTAGGGCGAGTTCAACCTGAGCAAGCTTTCCCTGCTTTTAAGACGCGGAGAAACGGGCCGGGTGGGAAGATCCGTTAGCAGACCCCGGGCGCGGAGCTCGCCGCGCTACGCCGGCGTGGCTCGAAGCGGCCGAGGGCCGGGCGCGCCTCATCGGGGGTGGGATGCCGGCAGGAGCGCCCGCCGCGCCGCAGGAGGCCGGAGGGCGCGGGCGCTGCCGAAGGGGCAAAGCGCTCGCCCCGGCCACTCGGTCCTCCAGGCAACTCTCCGCGCCCTCGGCGCAGCTTCAGGGCAAGCGTGCGCGGGAAGGAGACCGGGGCTTCTGGCGAGAGCTCCGGCCGCTTGGCAGCCGGTGGGGTGAAGGCTGGAGGGCGGCGAGCTGCGCCCGGTTCCGGCGCGCCAAGCGAGTTCCCGGGCTGCCAGTTCGTCCACCCGACGCTTTTGCGCCAGGCGCTGCTGCATCGACCCCGCGGCTGTGGTTTCAGACAAGCGAGGGCACACGCCGAACGCGGGATCCGGCTAGCCAGGAGCCCCCTCGCCCTGCCCTGGGGAAGCCCAGCGCGCGTGGCGCAAGAAGCGCGCCCGGGGAGTCTGCGGAACCCTCTGCTCTCCCCTGGCAGGAAAGCCGGGAGCTCGTGCGCCCGGCGCTGCCTTCCCCCGCGCCCCACTCTGACTTGCAGCGACTCGCAGCCTCCGACGGGCTCCTCCTGCCTTTGATGTGGTGGGCCCAGGAGGAAGCGCTGCTCCTCACTTGGCGCCCTCGGTGGTAGCATCATCGCGTTTAAAAATACAGCCTTGGCGATTGAGAACCACTGGCGGGCGGTTTTCTTGCCTTGTGTCTTTTTTTAAAAGCGGGGGAAAGAAATCTCCGCGAGGTCTGGGCGAGGAAAGCAAGTCTGAGAGCGCGAAAGAGGCCTTTCTGACAGCAGAGATGGGGAGCCGGCCAGCCCACGCCGAGAAAGGGGAAGAGATCGTTTCTAGCCCGCTTCCAAGTCTGCTTAACGCAGTTCTTCCTGGAATGGCTGCGCCCTGCCGCCCGACTCTCCCCTCTCCCCATCCTTCGAGCAGTGGCAATTTCATCTGGTCCTGCGTTTCTAGGAAATGTACGAAAGAAGGCGCACGCTAGGGAAGAGAGTTGGCGCTGCGGAGAGAGGCAGATTTTAAGCTATGCACGGCTTGCCAGCCTGCTGCTCGTTTCTCTTTTGCTCCAGCATCGAGCCCTTGACAGGTTGCAATGTGTCCCTGTGAGATTTCTGCGCAGTGCAAACAGTTGCAATTCAGGGAACACAATACCAGATTTCCCTGCTTTTTTAAAAAAAGCTTCTGCCATTATGTGGGTAACTGTGCCTTTTGCGACTGCAATCTTATGCAGGCGTCTAACTGAACATAGCAGGACTTCTACGGTTTGGGCTGTGATGTCTATTGATATGCAGTTTGTTTCCATGCATCTCTTGGTGGGCTTATAGTGACAGTATTAATAATAGGTGGTTCCATGAACTGATGAATAGCCATCAACAAGAATAGTGGACATGTATGCTTACAAAATGGAGAATCCAGGATCAATTGTTTCATTGCTTTCTCATACTTGTGTCCTTCCAGCTTGTCTCTTGCCTGCTAGAGAATTCATTTATAGCCTTTCAGAAGACAGACAACCCTGATGCTGTTTACTATGATAGCCAAAGATCCTGGGGGGGGTGGCTTCTTCCCGAGATCCACAGCAGAGAACTGGAGACTGAGCGCCTCTCCTGGTCTCCCACTGAAATATTGTGCAGCTGAGGGGCATCTCAACTAACAAGCAACGCCCCCCCCCCACAGCCCCCTTGAGCCAGAGAAGGCGAAGGGAGCTGTAAATTTTACAGAAGGGGATAAAGGCAAGTGAACTGAGAGGCACATAAGCAAGAACTTACACTGTGCCTCTTTCCATTCGTCAGCACACAATGCCTGTAGCGCTGTGGGTTCCCATGCGCGGCCACGTGTCTGGCTGTCATCAGGCTGCAGCTTCAGATGAAGGAAGCCTGTTCTTTAAATCCACTACCCAGCTGCAGCTAATGAATATCTAACTAGAGCGTTCAAGAACCTCAGTCTCAAAAAATGTATAAAGTGATTGCAGGGACAAGTGTCCCTGCAGTGTATTTCCGGTGAAGCTTGTGGTATTACCATTAAATCTGGAGTTCAAGCATCTTATGAAAATGTACCGGGCCGCACCTCTTACAAAGATGAGAGTTTGCCAGATCAGGCTGAAGCGCCATCTGAACATCAGCCTTTCACACTGTTTCTCACTGACTTCCCATAGGAATAAGGCAGCACTTGCATGTATGGGGGTTATGATGCCAATACATTCTCCCGCTAGGGATGGGGTGCGATGATGAAGTGGCCTGTAGCAGGCAGAGTCTCTCCTCCTAGGATGGGTGAGGTGCAGTGAGGGAACCCCTGTTTCTCATGATGGTCCTGAGGGATCCAGAGAGGAACATGGTCCTTTTAGTCTTCCATGTACTTCTGTCTACTTGCCTGTTTTCTCTCATGCTTATCTTACTCCTGTCCTCACCATGGAGTTCTGTCCTTTTCTCCTTCTACCTCGCCCATATGCATTATTTTCTTGGGGCTTTCTTTGGCACTAGCAAATCAAACTGGCCACATCATCATCATCATCATCATCATCATCATCATCATCATCATCATAGAACATTTAAATTAGGCTTTTGATTTTTGTTTTCTGTTTTGGTCAGGAACGGAAGTTGCTGACAGATCTGAGTATTGCCACTAAGGAAGGTAGATTGTGGTGAAAGCTGAGAATTGTAATTTCTACCTTCTTTCATCAAAAGAAAGGAGGCAATCACAAGTTTGACCGAGCTGAGCATTTTAGCATATAGACTTCTGCCTGGTCTAATAGGACAAGAAACTAGCTAGGAGCAAATGGTAGTTTTTCTTAAGGGCAGACCAAAATCATTGTCTTCTCTAGCGAAAGGACATGTAAATGTAAAGTCAGATTGGGAGTCCACTCAAGATACAATCTCTGGCACCCTAAACCATGGACAGTTCTAATAGTCCCTGAACTCTGTGCCCAAGGTGGGCTTCCCCGGCTGCCCTGCTGCCCCCGTTTGGTGGGAGAGCGGAAACAGTGGAGAACAGTGGGGCCGTGGGCTCACCCCAGTCCCTTGTAAGCGAGAAGCGGAGGGCAACTCGTGCCGATGGCTGGAAACGGAGGGCTGCTCCCCGTGGAGCAGCAGAGGACGGTGCCCTCGGCGTCTTCTGTTTCTAAACTTGCCACGATCAGGCTGACGCTCTCGTACAGGGAGCACCTACAGCAAGTGCTTGGTTAAGGTCACTGGGACAAACTGACCAGTTAAATCACCCTCGTTTTTCTGGTTTTTGTTCTTTCATTGTTGTTAGACTGATTGCACATATTTCTGTTTCCTTCAAGATTAAACATTTGTGTATTTGTGATCTCGCCGGTAAATAATAATTGTAGAGTTAATAATCATTTTTATTTTTAATTTGTTTTCTGTGTTAGGCAATATTTCACCTTATATTTCTTAATGATAGCTCGGTTGTGTGTTTTTTTAGAAATGCTTTGCTAAAACTGTCATAGAAGCCAAATATAAAAAATCTTCATATCCTGGTTCAGTTGATAACCTCTTATTGAACATAGAAATGTTATAATAATAATAATAATAATAATAATAATCTGTTCGTTAATATTGATATTATCATTATTCAATTAATATGCAATCCTTCATATTTAATAGTAAGTTTCAATAAGAATTATTAGCACCTTATTAGTGCCTCTTATTAATGAGAAATGGCAGCCCACCTCTAAGGAAAATATACAAGAGTTGTCTTCTTGTCTTAGCTCGCAGGGTGGAGATGCAAACACATGAGTCTGGCATATTTGGGGAGAAGTGTAGTAACAATCTGCATGTTTATCATCTCCTTATCTCAACTGCTGCATCAGCTTAAGGAGATATGCTGCTGTGCAATGAAAGTTTCCTTCTTAGTTTTGGACATTCCTATGGCAACAGCAGCCAACAAACCTGTACACATTTATGTGGGGAAAAAGCCGCATTGAAAACATTGGAATTTACTTGTGAGTAAGCATGCATAGGCTTGCACTGTTTAGGGCTGGTACTTATTTTATTGGAGTCCAGTGGACAGCAATGCTTTTTCTATAAAAACTTCAAATTATAAAAAATTAAGCTCAATTGACTGTCTCATTCATTTGTACCACATTGTTTGATTTAAAACCAAACTTTGTTGTCCCTTGGCACAAATATAATGAATCTTGCACTTAGAAAAGGATGTATCTGTAGCAGAAGCACAGTGAGAGAATGGGATCAGGTGGAACAGCTTTACATTTTCACTGAAGCAAATAATGCAGCGGAAGAATTCTTAGAGGGACAGGAGACAAGGGATTGGAGCTGGCTGGTGTCTTTATTGGGTCAACCGATGCTGAGAATGATTAATGTTTTAATCATTTAACAAAATAATTAAAATTATTTAATTTAATTTGAGGTAATGAGGTCTTTTATGCCCTCAAATTGGAAGGCATGTAAATATGGTCCCATTTATACATTGGGACCGACAGCACATGGTCAGGCTTCCTTGGCTCATACCGAATTCGGTCTGTCTGAGTGCTGCTTCTGCAAATGAAGAAACTACCTGCTGCAAGGTACCCGGGGAAGGAATCAGCTTAGCCCTCTCACTGTCATTCTGTTTTTCTATGGGCATGAGTTTCACTGCTTTCAACTTGTTGCCCATGGGGAACAAGGGAAAGAACCCATGTAATCCACTTACAACCTGAAATGTTATAGTCCAGGAAAAACATTACCTCTTGATGCAGAACTAATACTTTCAAGATCAGTTCAATGCAAATTTGATCATTACAGTGCCACGATATGTTCCTCCACTTCTTTTCTTTTTCTGTATATGTGTTTGTGTTCTTGTTTTCTGTTTCTATTTTATATTTCACAATAAAAACTTAAAATCAGAAAAAATGTCCATAGGGAAAGTATTTTGAACTCATATAGAGAGGGCAACATTTTGTTTTGCAATGTAACAAAGTCCTGGCTTTTTTTAAGTTAACAATTAAAAATTGGAGGGACAGAGGGGTGCCCACAGAGCTGTCTATGGACACCATGTTGGAGACCCCATTCTTAACACACTGCTGAGTAATGACTGGCACCCTTCTATAGGCATAATCCCTGCTCCCAGTTCCCAATATTTTAGCACAACATTTTAAAAGACAGTCACTGATTTGGACAGCCCTGTTTCAGACACCTTGTACCATTTCCCCCCCAGAAGTCTCAGGTCCCTAAAATGCCTGATGTGGAAGATTGTGTTCATGGCTGAGCCACAAAATAAGGGACGCCCCACATGCAGTGTTGTCAAACAAAGGAGCTGCCTGCCAATTGCACATCTAAAAAAAGAGGAACTGCGTTGCTCATGAAAGATCATGCAGGCAACCAGTTCTGAGAAAAGAGCAGCTAATTATTGACATGGGGTGCAAGCCTATGCATATTCAGACTGGAAAAATGAAGGTGGGCTGGGCATTCTTGTTCCATCTAAACATGTATAAGATCATGCCTTTAATCACACTGTTCCCCAGTTGTTATTTTTCCCTGGAAAGTACAAAGCAAATAAATATTTTTCAATATTTCTGAAAGCTCCTGAAAAACTTTTACAGATTCTGAAACAAGTGGCTTATTATGAATGTGCTCTTTCAATGCATGTCAAGGGATGCTTGTTCCGTGTTGTTGCCTATTTTCTGCAGGAGTGTATTTTACACTGAGAGTGTTTTACACTTTCAAACTGTAGATGAGTTTCCCCCCATCCAGTGTCTTCCAAATCTGTGAAACTGCAAGTACTAATGCAACATGGCCATGGTCTGATCTGGCTGAGGAAAATGGGATGTGTAGTGAAACTTGCTTAGAGGGCACCAGACTAGGAGTGGTTCTAAGTTTTGAATTGTAATGTGAACTTTAGTCCTTAGAGAGTACATACTGTAGGATTAACATAATTTATTATGTGAAATTGGATATCCCTGCAAGCAGTATGTAAGGTCAGGGGTGTGTGAGATTGAGCAGGGGGCCAGTCAACATGAAGGCCAGGCTGGGAAGTGCATCTGGTAGGTGAACCCTGCTAACTGCCTCCACTTGATTTGTGTCTCAACAGCCTCTGAGCGGTCCGTCTGTCCATCCTTAGATGAGGGTTCCCCTTTCTCGGTGCCCTTGAAACCTTATGCATGGAGCAGCCTTGGAGGTTCTGAGCTGAGGCACTTGGTGCAGAGCTACAGGCCTTGCCCAGCTCTGGAGCGAAGCTCGTCCCTTAGTCTCTTCTGCGAGAGGGGCTCTGAGCCTCCGCTCTACGGATCCGAGCGTAGCACAGCCCTGGGACTCTATGGTGACTTCGGTTCCCCTGGGCTCTTTGAACGGCCACCAGCAGCTCCTGGGATCTACGTGGAAGCCCCACCCAGGCTCCAGCAGGAGAAGAGTGCCGGCAGCATCAAACTGGAGTCAGAGCTCCTCTGTCGCCCCCTGTTGCTGAGCACGGGCTCCTACAAGTGTGTCAAGTGCAGCAAGGTATGGACTGCGTCCTATGAATTTCTTCGCCCGAGTCCATTCAGCTGCATTCAGTAGCTTGGAGGAGCAAAGCCAAGGGAAAGGCTGGTCAAAGCAGAGGCAGGCCTCCCTTTGCTGCCAAGGTCAAGATGTTGGATTTGGAAGACCTAATGAGGGGAATCCGTGACTTGTGTTGGCCTATTGTTAATTATTGAAGTGGTTCTTAAATGCACAAGAAAAGCCACATTGCATCAGGGCAGAGGTGTGTCTTATGTCCCATAATGGCCAACCAGAAGCCTATTGGGAGCCACATGGATATGTGGGTTGCAGTCCAGCAAGTGCTAGTCAGACGCACGCGACCTCGAATTCTGGGCCAGAGGGCACCCTTGGACCCACAGATATATCCTCAGTACTTTTAATTATTAACTGAATTGATGCATTCTTCAGTGTAGACACTTAAAACATGCATCCACACAGCTCCACGGGACCTTACGAGTTGCTTACGAGAATAAATACTGTACTAAAACCATCAACATAAGATGCTGAAGCAGCTAAACTAAAATGTCTCCAAAGTATAAATGCATGGCCTATGAAGCATCAAATAAATATTGAAAAAGCATTAATTGTCAACAGTAGAGCACCTTTTGATCAGCACTTTAGTCGCATTCTCTGTCTCAGCGGCAGCATCAGGAAAGCTCTCTGTGCTTTACTTCTTCAAGATGCTTAGTTCAGAACCGCCTGTGAGTTCAGATGTAAAATCCTCACGCTCTTCCTTTCTCCTTCCCTTCTCAGGTCTTCTCCACCCCACACGGCCTGGAGGTGCATGTCCGTCGTTCGCACAGTGGCACCAGGCCCTTTGCTTGTGAAATGTGTGGCAAGACCTTTGGCCACGCTGTTAGCTTGGAGCAACATAAAGCTGTCCACTCACAGGTGAGTGGGCGGGAAAGAGGGTGCAGCGCGTAGGAGTGCGAGACCTGAGGCACTAGCAGTCCTCCCAACGGAGGAAGAGTTGGGATGATCACACAGGCCTGGGATTGCGCCCAGTGACTATTGAGCATTCATAGCTGGACTGGAAGGAGTCCTACTGAAGAGATGAATTTGTGGTATTTCATGTGCTGTAGCCTCAGCCTACCTAACCCATGGGGATGTAGAATGTAAGAAAAGCCTTGCTGGGTTGGATTAAGGTGTATTTGATGCAACACTCTGTTCACAAAGTGGCTAACCAGCTGTCTGTGGAAGATCCACCAGCAGGGTGTGAGTTGAGCAACACCCGCACACGCCTGTTCCTCTGCAACTGGTGTACACTGGCGCTAGTAGCCACTGAGCATCTTCCCCAGGAGTTAGTCTAATCTGCTTTCAGACTTATCCAAACGGATGGCCGTCTGTACACCTTGTGCTAGTGCATGCCATAGTTTCACTGTGTTCTTTGTGAAGAATCATTTCCTTTACCTGTCCTTTGGTCTGAGGAGGCTGCTGAATTCCACATGAAGCCCAAAACATTTGTATGACTCTTCCTGCCCACCCAGTTACATCAGTCCCAGCAAGGGAACCCTCCGCATGAGCTACATTCTTCTGTCTACGACTAGCATTAGAGTGGTGACCTTCCACATCAGCTGCTCCCAGCCCTGGTACCTTCCAGGTTTTGGACTACAGTTCTCAGCATCCCTGGCCATTGCTGGTTGGTCAGTGGGAGCTGGAGTTCAAAACATCTGGAGGGCCCCAGGTTGAGGAAGTTTGGTAATATTTACAGTAAGAAATTGACTAATAGTCGCTGCTTGGAACCTGCCATGCAGACATGACACTTGGTGGCCCCACATGGTAGAACTTAATACTTGTGAATACTTACTGATTAATATTACTTATTACTGTAACTTTAAAAGCTTCATTCAAACTACAAAGGCTGCCTTTGCAGTAACACATCCTCCTTCTCCATAATAACTGTGGTTGCCAGGTGACCAGTTGGCGTTTGGTTGGATGAAGTCACTGAGAAGTCCCTAGTGAGATCTTGCTCACTGGGGGCACGCAATATGCTTTAGGGTGCAAAGAGAATGAAAGGTAAAGGATACGTGCTTGAATTAGCCCATGTTTATCTCCAACTGCATGCATTTTTCTAAACAAGCCCATATTTCAATCATCTTCCTTTTGTGGGAAAACTTCGTTAATTTAAGCATTTCTTAGAAGATCTGTTTGGATAGCAACACTCATGTACTACTGAAAGCAAAACAGCTGCACCAAATGGCAGTTCATTAGGAAGAGCCGATCAAAAGTTGTGCAGGCCTTTCGTTCAGTATGGATGCCGCCTTAAAAGTAGTACAGGGCTTGGAACAGGGAAGTGATGGGAAGTTTTGTGCCAAACAGAAGGCATTGCAGCTGGGATCTAGAGTGTGAAAAGAGTCCAATTGTAAAGAGAGTAGCTTTCCCCCCTCCTTAAATTAGGACCGCTGTCTTCCCTTGCTTCCCCATGCCCTTCAACTCTTCATTTGAATGGTGCTCAGGGAAGTGTTGGGAAACAGATGTGCTAATTCTTGCGAGGGCAGAATAAAGTATTTTGAGGAGGAGGAGGACATATTGCACAGAACATACATTCAGTTTAAGCATGGCTATCTTCTGTTAAAATGTTTGAAAGGAAAGCTCAAGGATGCATTTAGCCATGCGTGAAAATGTCCCTATCATTCCAATCCAGTATTTGCTTGCAGAAGTGCACCACCTCATTCATTTCCATGGGATAGCTTTGTGAGCACCCAGTTGTACTGTCCACTAAAGTTAATGAGAAGCCAATTTGTGTAGCAACAAGACCCTTAGATCATAGGAAGGTCTCAGACCAGGAATGTCTCTCCTTGGCTTATTGTCCTTACTTCATAATTCATCCACTTTAATGTACCTGGAATATAATGAAGAGAGCTACAGCCTGTACAACCACAGCTGTAAAATCAATGCAAGTGGTTCTTGAAAAAAAATCACCCCCCTGCCCCACACTGGCTTTTTATACTAAAATTCCAAAACAAACATTCCCTAGAACTAGCAAATAAATATTTACTCAGTTCCACAGACAGTGCAGCTTTTCTGAACTGAAGTTTGCCTGCAAGGCAGTGCTGCAATTGGAGCAAAGGAGGGACCCAGGTAGCTGCTAACCAGTCACACTAATCAGATTTGGTATGCCAAACTGGAGGGGTAGAATATCTCTCTGGGGGAATAAAGGTTGTATGTTGGGGCTAGTGAGTTTAGAAAACAGATGATTGGGGGAGGTATAACGGGGCTTTACAAAATCATGGAGTGAGTTGTTAGCTCTTTCATACTTACATTACAACGACTATGGTTGATTTTTTAATCAATCAATCAATCAATCAATCAAACTGATTAACATACTCCCCCAAAAGTAGAAAGCAGGAAGAAGAAAACATTTTGTTTGTTTTTGTTTGCAGCATTAAGAGTTTTCTTTCCAAAGGTGCTATGGTGGCCACCAGCTAAAAGGGATCCCACAGATTCATAAAGGTTTATCAATGTCTTTTATTCAGAATATCTAAACATTGATTTTCTGGGTTCGGAGGCAGGATACCAGTGGTACTAAAGCAGCAGAACAGTAGTCGGACCTCTGGTGCTGGAATGTTCATTAACTCCAGACAGCATAGCCAATGGTCAAGGATGAAGGGAGTTGTTGTCCCATGATAGAAGCTGCAATCATTACTATTAGAATCTGTTCGAAGCATTAGTATTAGAAGCTATTATTAGAGCTATTAGAAGCATCGAGGAAGAGTTCTCGTATAGATGGACCTTTGTTCTGAGCCAGTAGACTTGGGACCAAACCATGATTTTGTTTGAACATGACAACTCAGAATATAGGCTATGATTGAATCACAGATTGTTGTTGAATTGTGGTTTGCTGTTATGTGTGACTTTTGCATTATAGTTTAACTCTGGATAATTAGCTACAAACAAACCAGAGTTCGTAACCCAGCAACAAAGCATGGGTCCTCTTCTGGGTCGTTTATGGTTAGCAACCCATTGTTAAACTATAGTGCAGAGGTTATGCGTAATAGCAACCTATGATTCAACAACCCATGCTCAATTCATACTCTGGATTGTGACTACATTTGCACCAGGCCAATATGTTATGCATTTGATTTGCTGTTGAGTGCAAGGTTTTTCTTTCATAACTAGTCAGTGTGGAACTCTACTTGAACTAGCATGGTGCTCAGGGGGTGCCTGACTCTTTGCACTGATGATCTGCAGGGCCTGTGTTACAGTATGAATTTGCATGGGGGGTAGGGGGAAACCCTCGTTTATTCCAGTAAGAGTTCCCTCACTCTATGCAAATAGTAGGTAGGGGGCCCCCAATCTGCAGTGGGGCTTCAGCAAAGCAGAAATGGCTTAAAGCCCTCCACCCTCCCCACCTCCACCCGGGTATAGTCATGATCTGGATTGATCTGGATGATTTGGCTCTTGCAGTTCTCTATTGTGAAAGAAAATCTTGCAATCCAGGGCAGGCTACATAACTAATGTAAGAAGAAGTCTGGCTCTTATTTTGAAGAACCAGATGTTCCCCTGAGGAAATGCTGCACAGCTTGGTTTGCATGACAGGACAACCCACGGTGGGTGACAAGCCATGGTGGGGGGAAGTGTCATGTGAACCTGGACTATTCCTCCTAGGATAGCTTGTTCATGGACAGCAAGCCACCTTGACAACCTGTGGCTAGTTGTGGGGGTTGCTATACCCACAATGTGCTGTTGTGCCATCCACACTTGGGCAACTGACCCACTGTGGCAGTGGGAAGCACCAGGTGAGCTGCTTGGCAAGAGCAGGAAAAAACCCATTGCCATCCTTGCCAGGCTTTGCTGGGCCACCCGCAGTGCCAGCTGCCCCACTGATGGCCAGGGGGCATGGAGCAACAGTCACTGGCTCAGTATCTCCCCCCACAACTGCCAGCCCCCTTTTACTCCTTGTGGCTTCCCCACCTATTTGCAGAGATCTGAGAGTGCACAACCAATAACCCCTTTCAAAGTGGTGGCCGCTGGTTCATCATCTTTTGTAGAAAATATTTTGCATTCTCAAATGTGTGCAAATATTTTTGGAACCAAAAAAATCTAGTCAGGCTTGTGCAAGTGCACGCAGGTGCACTTTCCCAGGTCTAACATGGGTATTCTCACCTGAGCAATGTCCTGGAGGGTGCCTGTTGTGAAAATGCAGCAGGAGTCGGTCATGGACATTCACTCAGAGAGGCCACGCAGAGGGTTATTTTGACTTTGTTTTTTCCTGAAGGCTTTGAAAAGCTGTCAAGAGAAGGCAGAGTCATGAATGATCTTTGCTTGTAAAAAGGAGTGGGCAGTAAAGCACCCCTACTTTTGTGCTGAGGTCTGATTCTTCTCAGTGTTCAGTATCTTTTTCACCCCTTCCTGGGACTCTGGGTGTTTGGGGAGGTGGAAAATGTCAGCCATCTCATTTTAGGACAGCAGGGAACCTTGACAGCTAGCTGGCACAACTCTGGGTTCCTTTTAAAGTGCTGGGGTGTTTTGGGGGGGGGGGTTAAATAGGGATTGTTCTAATAATAATAATAATAATAATAATAATAATAATAATAATAATATAGGTATGTATGCATATGCCTATGGCCCTGTCAAAACCCAGGTTTGCGGAACCATGTGGACAAAAAAGGAATGGTTAAGAGAAGGGGCGGGCAACATCCCGCCAGTCATGGAGTCACAGTCATTCTTCTGGAAGATCAGGCACGGAGCAATAAATGCCTAGTTTTCTAGCAGGATCAGCCCCCCAAACCTTGGAAGCTGTCCACCCCTGGATTAAAAGAATTCCGGCCATGGCCTTGGCTGACTGGCCCTTCTAGCCTGTCTGGTTAGGAGTTAGTCTCCACGAATAAGGGTTGTAGGGAGCTTGAGCATGGTGGGAAAGTTTTGAGATTGTTCTGAGATGTGTCCAGAAGCTGAGCATGATCCAGCAGGTTCTGGCTCAATTCCCATTTCAAGTTTTGCAGGACCGTAACATCCTTCTTGACCATTTATGACACCCATTGGCCAGCCTGTTCTTCGAAGTTCTGTGTTTTACGTTGTCCTGCAAAGCGGCCTTTGTATGAGGCCTTGATATGTTGTGTAATGCAGACAAGGCGGTGAATGCTCCAGTCCTGATGTCTGGCTGTGTACTTTGTGTGGTGCCATGAAGCCTCTTTCCTTTTTGCAGGAACGCAGCTTTGACTGTAAGATCTGTGGTAAGAGCTTCAAGAGATCGTCCACCTTGTCTACTCACCTCCTGATTCACTCAGATACCCGGCCTTATCCATGCCAGTACTGTGGGAAAAGATTCCACCAGAAATCCGACATGAAGAAGCACACATTCATCCACACAGGTGAGCTCTTCTCGGCTCCCAGACATCGTGGACACGGTTCCTTTTCTTGCTGTGGGGATAAATGGCCCTCCATTCTCACTACCTTCCTCCATACAGATTTATTTATTGTTATGTGTGCATCTTCCACATTTTTTCCCTTTCTAACAGAAAATGGTGCTCATGGTGCTTACTAGATGGGGAGACCTTGTGACAAGGACTTCAATTGTATTTCTCTTCTCAAGTGGAAGCCATCCAGTTTAGAAGGACAGGCACACGATTTCAAGGGGAAATCTCGTGCATGTTCTACACACACAATTGAGCAAAACAGATGGATGCAAAATCACGTAGCTTATTCCTTTGTGATCACAGCAAAGCAGTCACAGCAAAGCAGATTTTTTTTCAAGGAACTGCATCAGCAGCATTACCATTTACACTAATCATAGCAGTGTTTGAAATATGGGGCAAGGGCAAGGAGGAATCAATGAAATCTACAAGCCCCTATCCTTTGGTCTCTCTTCCAGTTTTAGCAAAATCATGGCCCTCTAATAAGGATCTCAGACCAGTAGCCAAGGACTATTGCCAAAGGAAAAGACAGTATCCTGGCACCCCGGATTCTGGCCACTGGTCCTCAGCCCTGCAGAAGGCAGCGTTGTCTTGACGGGAGATCCCATCACCGCATGACACACTGCAAGCATGGAGCCCCTTATTGCAAGGCCAGGACCATGGTCTTTGTCCCGCTGCACACTTTTATTCTCAGGTGTTCTTGCTGGCACAGAGAACATGGCTGCACAGGAGTGGCTTCCCACCACAGTGCAGTACCTGTGCATGCGGAGATTTGAAACTCCTCCACCTGGCTGCGGTCACAGGTTGACTAAGGCCCCAACTGCGCATGATCTGCATGTGTGTCGTTGTAACTTTGCTCCACTGACTTGGAACAGCCAGTGCATTTTCAGGGGCTGCAGGCTGGTGTGGCCAGACAGGTTTCCCCTTCCCCACAGCCCTTATCTCAGGGGACTTATCTTGCAGCAGAACTCACTCCTACAACTGGAGCCCATTCAGGGGAGGCCCCTACAATGGGGGTGTCATTTGTTATTTGAGCTAGGCTTTTGGGTTCAGAAGTAAAGACAAAAAGTATATGTCCTATTTCTAGAAATAGGGCAAGCATTTTACTGGGGAATTGGGCCTATACAGTAACGTTTTTCTTTAATGATATGTCTTACATTCAGAAAAGCCCTGGCATGATCAGGGTGGAGAAAATGATACTTGGCTTCAATTTGTATGTGCTTTAAATATTTATGCTACGTATTACAAAGCATATTTATATGCTATTCTTCTAGGGAAAGGTCAGCAGTTAGGTGGCCCGGTGTCCTACTTTGTAGAGGATAGACCTGTGTTGGCAGGTGTGCCCTGTTTTGAAGGGTTGTCTCATCTGTTGTTGTTGTTAGTCACGAAGTCACATCCGACCCATCGTGACCCCATGGACAACACTCCTCCAGGCCTTCCTCTGTCTCCCGGAGTCCACCAAAGCTCACTCCGACTGCTTCAATGGCTCCACCTAGCTGCCTCATTCTCTGCTGTCCCCTTCTTGGGTTTAGAGATGAAGACCCAATAGAAGGGGGAGTCACAACCTTGACGTTGCCGGTGCCAGTTAGCACCTGTTACCAGGCTTTTAGATGTATCATGTCTTCCTTGACTGTGCCTAGAAAGAGCTGTCAAAATAGAAGTTTGGCCCATTCAAAGCAGCACACATTTGAATTGGGATTTTGGTGTTAGCATTTCTCTAGACCAAGTGGCCGTGCCTTGGCTATATTGGCATGACCATGCATGTCCTACTGCAGACTTCAGGCTGTTCCAGGTGCTTTTCCAGGTGCGCTACAGTGCTTAACTCCATGTCCATGCTCTCCTCCTCCCCAGGTGAGAAGCCCCACAAGTGCCAGGTGTGCGGCAAAGCTTTCAGCCAGAGCTCCAACCTTATCACCCACAGTCGGAAGCACACTGGCTTCAAGCCCTTTGGCTGCGATCTGTGTGGCAAAGGCTTCCAGAGAAAGGTGGATTTGCGGAGGCACCGAGAGACCCAGCATGGTCTGAAGTGAGAGCCGTGCGAAATCTGAAGGAACGTCACAAACACTATGTCAACAGCCTTCCTCTTCTTCGTGGTGGGCTTGCCTTTTCCTCTCCCTGCCTTTCTGGTCAGCTTCTCCAGCTCACTTCCTGCCATATCCGCACTAAACAGGAAGCCAGAGCGGGCTGGCCAGCATTTTGCAGAACTTAACCCAAATCTCTTGGGGTGAAAGTGGGATGCCAAGGCCGAAGAAAGGTGGGGTGATGCCTCTTTTTTCTCTGTCTTTTAAAATTAAACACTGGAAAAATATCATACCAACCCCACTATATTTTGAAGCCCCTAAAGGCCCTGTCTGGATAAGCTACCTGGCTCCTTTGAACCAGAAAGCCCTTGTCTCTCCTCCTGCCCCCGTCCTGATGACTTCCCCAGTTAGCCTTGGTTTCCTGAAAGTAGATTTTTGAGAAAGCTGAACTACATAAATTTACATGGTAAACACACTGAGTGGAGTGGCGGAAGGACAGAATGGTGTTTTCTTTCGTACTATTCAACAGTTTAAACTGGATTTACTTAACCATTTTCTTCCTGGGAACTTTTCAGAGTGAAATGGGTATTCAGGTCTGTTTCTGATGTTTAATTGCCCTGTTCTCTTTATAATGGTGAGACGTGATTTTGAAACGTGCACACGACAAAGAAGGGCCCAGAGCTACTGCCAATAGCGTCTTTCGATCTTGCATTTGATCATTCCCATATCACAAGGGATCTTTTTAACTATGGCTGCTCACTATGTGCTGACTCCTTGCCTGAAGGGGGCTCTGGGGCTTTTCAGAGCTATGTGGCACGGAGAAACGCACTGGGCATCTTCTTCTCCCTCTGTAGAATCATCATAATGAGAGGAGGCGTGGGGATGCTGCACAGGTGTGTGGCAAAGAATTCAGCCACAGCTGACACCATCATAAGCACATGGGTTTCCAGTATGTGTGGCAGAGGATACTGGACTTCTTCTTGACATGCAACCGTTAAAGGGTGGAGTGAGTTGGACACTTCTCAAACTTTGCTGGGATTTGGGGAAAATGTCTTCATAGTTTCCTCAGATATTGGTCTGGGCAATTTCCTAGGCTCGCTCCTACCCAACAGGTTTAAGCTTCACCTTTTAGGATTTTTGGACACTGGATTTAACCTGAGGCATTTTTTTCCGCTGGAAGAAAAGAGCTCCTTAACTTCTTGGGCCAAGCATTATATAGATGGAAGGAATCCTGGTCAAAGCCTGGTCAAGTTTGCCAAACTACACACTAACTTAGCTTTGAGTGTAAGGTCCTTGATTTTTCGAGATTGTCAGTGCATGTTCCCCTCTCTGGACTAGGATCCTAGCATGGAGTGGAGTGGTTGGTGGGCTCTAATTCCACCTCCATCCTACCCTGCTGGTGCAGGCCAAGTCTGGTTCAGGGCCCTTGTTCCTTCCATTGGAAGTGGCAAGAAAAAGCCCTTGAATGCTTTTTGGGTGCTTTCCTGGCCATGCACATTGCAGGCGTGGGGCTCCCCGAACTGGGTTTGGGCTGCAGCAGGGCCACCAGGTGGATGCTTCGCCTCCTCTAAGAGCTGCACGGGTCCTGATCTGAATGGGGGTGAGAGGGCCATGCTCATGATTTTTGGAGAGACAATGGCCATTCAGCCATGCAGCTAAGAGACTGTGCAGTTTGGTCCCGAGGTGAACATCGATATTCAATGACTCCAGCATTTTCCATGTGCCCCATGCTTGGTTTTGATTTTTTTGTCATTTAAAAATTGCCACTCTTTACAACAGCCCCCTTCCAGCCAAGAATTTTAGGACAAAAGGAAGTTCCCTCAAATGATCGGCTCTTCCAAGAGTCTCAGCCTTATCTTTGTTGTTCCATGTGCATGTGTGGCCTTTACCTTCCATTTTTGGGGAAGGAAACTGCTTATGGGGAGCTGAAAAGGAAGAGCCAAATGCAAAACAAGCTATGCCTTATTAGCTAGAAACTGATGTGGTTCGCCCATGAGTCAAAGAGGACAGGACTAAGGGGTCAGGGACAGATTTTCCTTCCTAATTGCCACTGGCATTTTATCAATAGATAATGAGTCAGTGAGAAATAGCCTGATACACTGGTTTGAATATCTAGGTTATTTACTCTGAAATGGCCTCATGCCAAGAGGACCCAGGAATTACTCTCTGTGTGTTGTAGTATGAATTTGCCTTAACTAACCCTGTGCATACCTCATTGGGGGTGGGGGGAACATAATACGTTTATACTTTATAGGTAGGATTGTAAATGTCTTTGTTTAGATTTTACAGTTTGTCTTGTGTTATTGATGCATATTTATTGGAATAATGTTTTAAATTAATAAAGTACTGAGGACCTTCTGGAGGAGCATTTACTTTAGCTGAAAACCTTAATGAAAATGGCACTATGATTCTAAATAGACTGACCTGGAGATCAGATCCACAAATCGATGGCCTCATTTCTGCCTTCAGGCAGGATCGACAGCAGATTGCATTTCCTGTGTGTGTGTGTACTGTGTACGGTTTCTGTGTTTAGCAGTATCCTAATAGGGCCTGGCATCCGAAAATTAGAATGATCTCTAGTCATTCTACAGCTTAAGGAGTGCACAATTTTGGACTGGACTTGAAAGCATGTATATAATAATCCAACAAATCAAGACCAGGCTTTCTGTTATAACAGCAAAACAAAACACTCTGGTGTGACATCAAGAGGAATGACAGAGGAACTACCCACATTAGCCACTATGGTATCACTCTAAGGCCAGCTTTAGCTCATATATTTCTGTCATGTCAGTGCCACATATTCATCAGTCTGGCTTGTTGACAAATAAAGGCAGTGCCGTTGTCTTACTAAGACATGGCGTTTGCATATTTTTGAAACAAACTCTGCTTCTAAAGAAGCTTACTTAATTGATATATATACGTGTCAATATATTCTTTTTATTATTCACTTCTATAAAAGTCCATGAACTAGGTTGCATTTTACAGATGATGAACTGAGGCTGAGAAAACAGTACAAATAGAAGGATTTGAACTGTTGTTGCTTGTTTAGGATTCTCAAATGTTATCGCTCTCCTGACATTGTGCGATATAAGAAAGTAAGTGGGATTGAAATCCTATGCTCCCTTTCTTCATTGTAAGCCCTGCTTTATTCAGTAGGACCCAATTCTAAGTGCCCCTATGTAGGATTGCACAGTATTCAATTGTATGGTTGAATGTTCCTTGCTTATAGGCTATTGAAGGTTCAAAGCCTAGTATTCTTCCAACCCCAGCCCTGTACAACTTGCTTTCACAAGGGGACTTTTCCAGCCTGAGGAAGTGTCCAGTCATGCGATTTCTTGCTGCATTCTGAAGTCTTACAGTTCCAGGAAGGTGGTTGTACCAAACAATACTTCTAAACATGTGGATTGGATCACAGAGAACATCTGAATATTCAAGCACATCTTGGAATTGTTCATTCACCAAACCAGCACAGATACCACCTGTCATGCCCATGTGGCACATGTATCCGTTCTTGGGACAGAAATGCAAGGGACTATATCTGGGGAGGGGACAATGAGGTATGGATTGTTAAGAATGCAAAGCAAAATATGTCAGCATTGTATCCAGACCACATTTTGTTCCCTTTTCACACGCTCCCTATTTCCAGTTGTGTCCTTAGGCATTACATAATACGGGTGTGATGCTTCTTTTAAGGCTCTGTGGCTTCCATGTTCTGTAGATATTTGGGACAAATACAGATGGGCGCTGTTTTTCTTTCAAGAATGGCAAAGGCTGAGGGAGTTGGCTGTAAGTTGTGGCTACCACCATGTAAACTGTGTGTGTGTGTGAGAGTGTGTGGACTCAGCCACTGCTTTTCCACATTCTACAGACTATCACCCTCGCTGCCACTGCGAAACTAATGGTACATGGTAAGACTTTAAAAAATGCACATGGGATCTTTCAAGACAAGGATCACAGATGAGGGGTGACTTTGGTGACTTTCCCCTGTGCCCCCCACCACTCCCATGAAAAGCCAAATGCCACACACAAGAAGTACAGTTTCAAAGCAGACTTGTAACAGCAGCAAGAGGGGGAAACGTTTTAATAATCAGACCAACTAGGAATCAGAACAAATTATTGAGACTCTTACCGTGTGAAATTTGAAGACTGAAAGTATCTTCCTTAATGTCATTACTTAGTTGCATGAAAAATGCATGGTGTCTATTCTGTGACTCATTATTCATGAAGCAGGTTCCATGCCTTTTGTCTGCCACAGTAACTGAAGGAAAGGTAATCGGAGAGGCCACCACGCACACCTTTGTTTCGTTTGCTGAATATTTCATAACGCCACCAGCTAGCCAGTTGGTGAAGCTGTGTGCCCACCTAAGAGTGGAAAGGCAGAGCTATCTCAGAAAGACTAACCCTTTCAGGAGCTAATTTGAGCTTGTGTTCATTCACGCCAGTGGTGATCAAATTACCTATCAAGTGCACTGAGCTATCATGATTCAGGACTCCAAAGAACAAGGTGGATTTCACCTGATTGATTTAAAATACATGGGGAGGGGGAGGTGCAGATGAAGTGAGAAAAGGAACAATGGCAGAGAAGCTGCTGCTTGCTTCCTGATGTTATCGTTTGCTCTAGGCGGAAAATTAATGGTTTATTCTCAGGGTGGCTTAGGAGGATGTGCAGAGACCCACACTGCAAGTGCCAGTTATTCACTTGCATGCCAGTTTCCCACTAGCATGAAGCCTTAGCAGAGGTTATTGAGAAGACATGACAATAGTTGTTCTGGGGTTTTATAGGACCCCGCATCAGGCATATTGGTTGAAAATGTGTAGGTGACAGCTGAAGGCATGGGGTTGGTGGTCCAAAACTTTGGTGTAGGTTTATTTATTTATTTGTTTGTTTTTCGATTTATATCCTGCCTTTTTCCTACAAAGGGCTCAAGGCAGCTTACATCATCTCTCCTTCTCCATCTTATCCCCACAACAACAACCCTGTGAGGTAGGTTGGGCTGAGAGTCTGTGACTGACCCAAAGTCACCCAGTTGGCTCCATGGCCGAGTGGGGACTAGAACCCAGATCGCCTGAGCCCCAGTCCCATGCTCTTAACCACTACACCACGCTGGCTCTCATGAGAGGAGCCAGGTTAATATTTGGTAGAGCGGGTTAGGAAGAAATGCTAGTGTTAGATGTTGATACATGCTATTTGCTGGTGCCACAAAATAACACAGAACCGGTGCAACATTTTGATACAGGAAGGAGATATCAAATTTGGCAGTTTGTAGTTATGGAGCTTAGCTTAACTCCGCTAGAGCTGTGATGAGCCAGATACTGTGAATAACAAATACTGACTGAGGGAATACAACAAGGTTGCCATTTGTCCCCCTTATAGTTCATGCTTACGTCGTTAACCAGATGTCATATCCTAATTCAACACACTGCGTTGTCATTGGAACTTTACCTGTGCTCTACAACTCCCAGTTTAACTGCATGTTGTTGGTAGCCTATCAATTGGTCCTTCCCAGACAAATCTCTGAAGAGCACTTCTATATGAAAGCACAAGAAACAGATCTGAAACCTATAGAAACAGAGTGAGTCAGAAGGGGTCTCCCGGGCCATCTAGTCTGACCCCCAGCTCCAGCCAGCTCCGCTCATGACTTGCCCACCATGTGCATGTCTAACCTATCTCTGAACACCCTCACTGATGGGGCCTCAACCACCTCCCACCATATCTTCAGAGAAGGCACATCCTATACATCGGGGTGGCCAAACTTGCTCAACTTGGTCTGTTTCAGATGTTTGCGAGCCACAAGACATGAGCAAATAGTAATTAATTAATTTATTGAGCCCAAACAGACATTGCTACCATTATCGGGCTTGTTACTGCTAGTAGAGGACTTGTGAGTCTCCATCTTGGCTGTGAGCTGTTGAAAATCTGGCTGATGCATTGTCAAGGCTGTCCGAACTAGCTCTGTTGAAGTCACATGACTGAAGCACCACAGCAGGAGACTCGTGCCTTGCTCCCTGCTTTTGTTTACACCGGCTTGGCTGCTCAGATTAGAAGCTGCATCTGGCTTTTTTAGTCCCTCTGTGAGCCGCAAAATAAAGAGCCACAAGTGACTTGCTAGCCTTGGTTTGGCCACCCCTGCCAGATATACAGATAGCGAATGTATTCTCAGAGTGTAGATCATCATCTAACAAAATAGCACCATCCACACACAGGGAGGAACCAGCAGGCTTGCAAAAATACGGAGCCATGAAAAGTCAGCAAACTTAAAAAAAAAAATCCGGAGATCAAACCACAGCTTTCCCATGCAATGCCTGGGTTCAGACGCTCAAGGGCTGAGTGTAGGTGGATGTGGAAATATGGGTCATTGTGTGATCTGAACGCAGGTCTGCTGACAAATCTTGGCAGGTTAACTATGAGCATTCCAAAAGAGAACTCATATTTTGCTGCGGGGTTGTTCACCTTAGTTGAGTATCTCAGCTGGGGTCAGGCAACACAGCAACCCAGATTTCAACAAGAACATGCACTCAGTCCATATGCAATCCTTGAGTGCAGGCAATTGTGTTTTCTGAACTCAGTGTTAGAAGAGTGGATAGGAGTCGATGCCGCAAACGTCTGGAGGGCATGAGGTTGAGAAAGCCCGGCAGCAGAATTCAAGTAAGTCATAGGAACATAAGCTCCTTCTTGGATAAGACCAAAGGTCCATCTCATTCAGCACTCTGTTCCCAAAATGGCCAACCAGCTCCTGAGGGATCCCACAAGGTGGACATGACAGTAACAGCACCTTCCTACTCATGTTCCCGTGCAACTAGCATGTAGAAGGATATTGCCTGTAACCTGGAGATAGTATACATTCATCAGGAACAGCAACCATTGATAGCCTTCACCTCCATGAATTTGTCCCATCTGTGTTCGAAGTCATCCAAATTGTGGCCATCTTTACATCTTGTGGAACCCAAAAATATAGTTTTACTATGCAGTGTGTGAAGAAGTACTAATCTAGTCTTGATCTCCCATCAATCAGCTCCATGGGGTTGACTCCAGGTTCTAGCATTATGAGAAAGAGCGTAAAAAGTGTTCCTTTCCTCTCTCTCCCCACCACACATCCTTCTGTACACCTCTACTGCCACCCCCCCTTACTCATCTTTTTTTCTGAGCTAAACCATCTCAGCAGTTGTAAGTTTAGAGGTGCTCCAACACCTTGCAATGAATGGGTGGTGAACACCGTAGTGTCACAAACATCCATTTGCCCCTGGCTGCTACGGGGAGTCTCTCAGCCATGTGGCTTCCCCAGAACGAAGAAGGGGGCATTTGGCAAAGGGAGGGAAGGACTTTCAGCATGGAGGATCCAGCCCTG